TCATACAGGTTTCCTCATTAATGTTGCATAAAATCGTTAACGGCCAGGCGGGGTGGCTCACACCTGTAATCCCAGCACTTTGGGAGGCTGAGGTGGTGGATCACCTGAGGTCAGGAGTTCGAGACAAGCCTGACCAACATGGCAAAACCCTGTCTCTACCAAAAATACAAAATTAGCTGGGCGTCGTGGTGAGCGCCTGTAATCCCGGCTACTCGGGAGGCTGAGGCAGGAGAATTGCTTGTACCCGTGAGATAAGAGGTTGCAGTGAGCCGAGATCCCACCATTGCACTTCAGCCTGGGCAACAAAAGTGAAACTCTGTCTCAAAAAAAAAAAAAAAAGTTGGACGCGTAATCTTTGCACTTTGGGAGGCCGAGGCAGGTGGATCATCTGAGGCCAGGAGTTTGAGACCAGTCACGCCAACATGGCAAAACCCCGTCTCTAGTGAAAATACAAAAACTAGCCGGGTGCGGTGGCTCACACCTGTAATCCCAGCACTTTGGGAGGCCAAGGCAGGCGGATCACGAGGTCAGAAGTTCAAGACCAGCCTGGCCAACATGGTGAAACCCCATCTCTACTAGAAATACAAAAACATTAGCTGGGCATGGTGGTAGGCGCTTGTAATCCCTGCTACTCGGGAGGCCGAGGCTGCAGTGAGCAGAGATCGTGCCACTGCACTCCGGCCTGGGCAACAGAGCAAGACTCTGTCTCAAAAAAAAAAAAAAAAAAAAAAAGGAAAGGAAAAAAAACTAGCTGGGCATGGTGGCACATGCCTATAACTCCAGCTACTCAGGAGGCTGAGGGAGAAAAATCGCTTGTACTCCAGAGGTGGAACTTACAGGGAGCGGATATCCCACCATTGCACTCCAGTCTGGGTGACAAGAGCCAAACTCCGTTGCAAAAAAAAAAAAAAAAGGCCGGGCGCGGTGGCTCAAGCCTGTAATCCCAGCACTTTGGGAGGCCGAGACGGGCGGATCACGAGGTCAGGAGATCGAGACCATCCTGGCTAACACAATGAAACCCCGTCTCTACTAAAAATACAAAAAAATTAGCCGGGCGTGGTGGCAGCGCCTGTAGTCCCAGCTACTCGGGAGGCTGACGCAGGAGAATGGCGGGAACCCGGGAGGCGGAGTTTGCAGTGCGCCGAGATCACGCCACTGCACTCCAGCCTGGGCGACAGAGCGAGACTCGGCCTCAAAAAAAAAAAAAAAAAAAAAAAAAAATGTAACATGCTTACTTTGTATCATTGGGAAAGTCATGGCTTCCTTTTTTCCTTTTACTTTTTATTTTATTTTCTTTTTTTTTTTGAGACAGAGTTTCACTCTTTCACCCAGGCTGGAGTGCAGTGGCATGATCTCAGCTCACTGCAACCTCCGCTTTCTGGTTTCAAGCGATTGTCCTGCCTCAGCTTCCCAAGTAGCTGGGATTACAGGTGTGCGCTACCACGCTTGGCGAATTTTTGTATTTTTTCAATAGAGACAGGGTTTCACCATGTTGTCCAGGCTGGTCTCGAACTCCTGACCTCATGATCCACCCATCTCGGCCTCCCAAAGTGCTGGGATTACAGGCGTGAGCCACCACGCCTGGCTGAGTTCCTCTTTTTTGAAAGTATCAGCAATTTAACAAGTTTCAGGAGCCTTACGGGTATTGGGGGGGAACCTCAAGAAGAGAGGAATTTGCTCAAATTTTAAGCACTACAGGCAAAATCTGATGGAGAAGGCATCTTGGGCTTGCCTTCTGTGTCTCAGGATATCAAACAACAGATTATTATTTTTTTTTTTTGAGACAGAGTCAAGCTCTGTCCCCCAGGCTGGAGTGCAGTGGCACGACCTCGGCTCACTGCAAGCTCCGCCTCCCGGGTTCACATCATTCTCCTGCCTCAGCCTCTCCAGTAGCTGGGACTACAGGCGCCCGCCACAACGTCTGGCTAATTTTTTGTATTTTGTTAGTAGAGACAGGGTTAGCCAGGATGGTCTCGATCTCCTGACCTCCTGATCTGCCCGCCTCGGCCTCCCAAAGTGCTGGGATTACAGGCGTGAGCCACCACGCCTGGCCTCTCTTTTCATTTTGAGATGGAGTCCCACTCTGTTGTCCAGGCTGGAGTACAGTTGCATGATCTCAGCTCACTGCAACCTCCATCTCCCAGGTTAAGTAATTCTCCTGCCTCAGCCTCCTGAGTAGCTGGGATTACAGGCGCGGACCACCACGCCCAGCTAATTTTTGTTTTTAGTAGAGACGAGGTTTCACCATGTTGGCCAGGCTGGTCTCGAACTTCTGACCTCAAGTGATTGGCCCGTCTTCGCCTCCCAAAATGCTGGGATTACAGGTGTGAGCCACGGCACCTGGCCGAAACAACAGACTTTCAAAAGTCTAAGGTTCCTTATGGAGACTTCCAGCAAGGCAAATTCAGGTGAGCTTATCTGGTAAATGAGTACTACATAATCGGGCCAAATCTAATGAGATCAGCCTTATTATCAAAAATACGTTTCCTTGGCCAGGCACAGTGGCTTACGCCTGTAATCCCAGCACTTTGGAAGGCCGAGGCGGGAAGATCACTTGAGGTCAGGAGTTTGAGACCAGCCTGGCCAACTTGGTGAAACCCCGTGTCCACTAAAAATACAAAAATTAGAACTGAAAAAAAAAAATACAAAAATTAGCTGAGTGTGGTGGTGTGTGCCTGTAATCCCAACTACTTGGGAGGCTGAGGCAGGAGAATTGCTTGAACCCGGGAGGCGGAGGTTGCAGTGAGCTAAGATCACACAACCACACTCCAGCTTAGGTGACAGGGTAAGACTCCGTCTCCAAAAAAAAAAAAAAATTTTCCTTGATTATGAGATCAAAAGAAAAATGTGTGCTTCAGTGGAAAATGATACATTGTTTAGAACACATCTTTCCAGATTATCTTATTCTCCTCTTTGAGCTATTTGTACAACTCTGTAAATTGTGAACAGCTGAGAAAAATGCAAAGTAATTCTAGCATATAGGAGACAGGGTCTAGCTCTGCTGCCCAGGCTGGAGTGCAGTGGTGCAATCACTACAGCCTCAAACTCCCAGGCTCAAGCGATCCTCCCACCTCGACCTCCTGAAGTGCTGAGACTACAGGTGTGAGCCACCAGGCCTGGCTTCTCTTTTTCTATTTAAATAAATACGGCCGGGCGCAGTGGCTCACACCTGTAATCCCAACACTTTGGGGGGCCAAGGTGGGCAGATAACGAGGTCAGGAGATCGAGACCATCCTGGTGAACACGGTGAAACCCCATCTCTACTAAAAATACAAAAAAATTAGCCGGCCATGGTGGTGGGCACCTGTAGTCCCAGCTACTTGGGAGGCTGAGGCAGGAGAACGGCGTGAGCCTGGGAGGCAGAGCTTGCAGTGAGCTAAGATCGTACCACTGCACTGCACTGGGCAACAGAGCAAGACTCTGTCTCAATAAATAAATAAATAAATAAATAAAATAAATACAGACATGTAAATAAATTCCCCCACTGTGGAAGAGGCCAGTTTTGCCTCCATTTGCACATTCACTTCAATATTCCTGATCTAGAATCTTCCAGATTATTCTTTGGATTCTCTTTTTTTTTTTCCCCCCCCATCACAGAGTCTTCTTCTGTCTCCCAGGCTGGAGAGCAGTGGCTATATCTCAGCTCACTGCAACCTCCGATTTCTGGGCTCAAGTCATTCTCCTGCCTGTGCCTCCCATGATCTGCCCACCTTGGCTTCTCAAAGTGCTGGGATTATAGGCATGAGCCACCACGACCAGCCCATGTAATTTTAAAAATTGCTGACTGGAACCTAATGATTTTAACACCAATGACTAAGCAGTTTGAAAAACAGTGCCCTAGACCAAAACAAAGGAAATAAAACTGTTTTATACTCATGTAAAACAAACACATGTTAAAGATTTCACTTATTGTTAAAGAGCCAGTGAGCCGGAGCTCGGGAGTTCGAGACCAGCCTGGCCATCATGGTGAAACCCTGTCTCTACTAAAAATACAAAAAAATTAGCCGAGTGTGGTGCGTGCCTGTAATCCCAGCTGCTCAGGAGGCTCAGGCAGAACTGATTGAACCTACCTGGGAGAAGGAGGTTGCAGTGAGCCAAGATCGCACCACTGCACTCCAGCCTAGGCAACAAAATGAGACTCTGTCTCAGGGGGAAAAAAAAAAAAGAAATTTTCAGTGCATTTAACAAAAAACAAGTATATTTTATGAAACTTTTGTTACTTTTTTTTTTTTTTTTTTTTTTACAGTGGATACCTGTTGTTTTGTGGTAGATACAGGGGCCCTAATGTGTTTCTTTTGTGATGTTCAATCTTCATTCGTACAAATTTTTTTTTTTTTTTTTTTGAGACGGAGTCTCGCTCTGTCGCCCAGGCTGGAGTGCAGTGGCCGGATCTCAGCTCACTGCAAGCTCCGCCTCCCGGGTTCACGCCATTCTCCTGCCTCAGCCTCCCGAGTAGCTGGGACTACAGGCGCCCACCACCTCGCCCGGCTATTTTTTTGTATTTTTTTAGTAGAGATGGGGTTTCACCGTGTTAGCCAGGATGGTCTCCATCTCCTGACCTCGTGATCTGCCCGCCTCGGCCTCCCAAAGTGCTGGGATTACAGACACGAACCACCATGCCTGGCCGCACTCAGTACAGATTTCTTAAGTGAATGGAGCACGGGCTGGCAGATGTGCACGGAAAGCTCCAAAGTCTCAGTTTATGGTGCATCAATCTTATCCTCTCTCCCCATCTCCCAGAACTGTGGGTGCGGAGCAATTTGAGTGCAATGCCAGATGGCCTGCTGAGACACTGCGGTCCTGCCGGTGGCCACAAGGGTTCAGTGTAGCCTGCTGGGACACTGCGGTCCTGCTGGTGGCCACAAGGGCTCAGTATAGACCTAAGGGTCACATGTCAGCAACTGTCAGGTGTCTTTCAGACACCAGCAGGTCCAAACTCTAATCAGTAAGGCTGGAAAACCAGGAGGCTCTTTTGGCAGCTGAAGGAGCAACAGAATTACCTTTACACGTGAGTGAGAGACGCCACCATCATCTCCCACACCTGGGTCACGGCGCTGGCTTGCTGGGCAGGAGACTCCGGGGGAAAATCCCGTAACTTCTCTGGGCTGGTTTCACCTGTGAAGAAAGAAAAGTGGCAAATGAAATATCGCAAGTGAAATTATTCCATGCACTGTCGAGTGTTACAGAAGAACAAGGCATTCTGCATCCAGGTGCAGCAGGGGTGCTGAGGGATAGGAGCAGGAGGAGGGAAGGCGCTTTGTTTAAAAAGCTTCTGGGCCGGGGGCGGTGGCTCAAGCCTGTAATCCCAGCACTTTGGGAGGCCGAGACGGGCGGATCACGAGGTCAGGAGATCGAGACCACCCTGGCTGACACGGTGAAACCCCGTCTCTACTAAAAAATACAAAAAACTAGCCGGGCGAGATGGCGGGCGCCTGTAGTCCCAGCTACTCGGGAGGCTGAGGCAGGAGAATGGCATGAACCCGGGAGGCGGAGCTTGCAGTGAGCTGAGATCCGGCCACTGCACTCCAGCCTGGGCGGCAGAGCGAGACTCCGTCTCAAAAAAAAAAAAAAAAAGCTGCTGAATGGGCTGGTGGCAAGGTGGCTCACACCTGTCATCTCAGCAGTTTGAAAGACTCAGGTGAGAGAATTGTTTGAGCCCAGGAGTTCGAGACCACCCCTCCACACACACCATTTCTACAAAATTAAAAAAAAAAAAAGCGCTCCTGGAAGACTCCAATGTCTACCCACCTCCCACCTACCCACTACTGAGCCATGAGCATTGGAGGTGCACTTGCCTTGGACATGAACCCCTATGGTGATAGCACACGCTCAGTGGGTGCACACAGACCTTCCTCCTGGAGAGGCTGAAGGTGGCAGAGATGCCCAGATAATTAAAATTGACTCAAAATGAGCTTCACAATCTCAGCACTGTTGACATTTTGGGCCGGATGATTCTGCTGTGGGAGGCTGTGCTGTTCAGCGTGGGGTGTTCAGCAGCATCCCCGGTCTCTACCTGCCAGATCCTAGTGTCATGCCTTACCACACGTTGTGACCATCAGCATTGCAGAATGTTCCCTGGGGTGCAAAACTGCCCGAAAGCCACAGCTCCAAAGCAACTTAGAAATCAGAGGGCACCGAAAGGGAGAGCTTGGCCAATGAGACCCCCCCCCCAGCCGGGTATTCCCCAATCACCCTCCATCATAATCTTAGCGAAGTTTATTTACTCCTTCCCATAGCTTAATGCATCCTCAAATCTCTCTCCCTTTATGCCTGATATACCCATCTTCCCTCTCCTTTCCATTCCCACCACCTCAGGACATCATCCCTTACCACAACCTCTTTAGCCCAAGCCAAAGCCTCTGAACGATCTTGCCAGCTCTGGCAAGCAGCCACTCCAATTCTCCCTATAGGGTGCTGACAGGCCACTCTTCCTAAAGCTTAACTTTCAGCCTGTCTCTCCCCAGTTAAATCATCTCCATCTCCAGCTTTAGTGCATCATCAGCTGGGTGTCATAAACGCTCCACAATGTAGTCCCAACCTCAGCCTTGTTCCTTCCACACGTGCCGCCAGTAGCATTTGGGAGAGGAATAAGAGAAACATGATAGAATCACACGAGAAAATCTAGATCAAGCCCTGGAAATCATATTGACCCTGGAAAGCAGAAATATGAAAATAAAAATAAGCCGTTTCTTCGGAATTGGAGTTCGCACATGATTATCTGACTATGGAAGTTCAGTTTCCTCCCAGGACAAGGAATAAAGGGAACAACGGGCAGGGTTTCGAGCGAGGGTTTCAACTACGTCAGACCCGTTATGTGCAGGCTCCATGGGTTAGCCGCGGCCTTTTGGAACCGGGTGGAAGAGAATGGAACGGAATTGAATCCGAACAGATCCAGCTGCGTCATGTGAGCTTAAACAAGCGTCTCCCTTTAAACTTGTGCTTCAGTCATCCAGACCCACAGGCGCAGTGTACACGCGTAAAAGGCATTTCTCAGTGTCGGCTGTGGGTCAGCAAAGTTCGAAAGCCGTCACCGGAGATCTATAGAGTCAGAAGCCGGAGCGGGGTGCGTCCAGATCCGCAAAAGTGCAAGGTCACTGGGACCGCCCGAGCTGCAACCGTGGGACGGGGCTGGTGCTGCGGGTTCAGGAAGGCAGCGCTGGGCGGGGCGGACACCGCCAGGGAACGGAGGGCGAGTGCTGGGGTCCTTGAAGTGGGGGTGTCGGGCTTAGGCCAGGGGACGGGGGTGGGGTGAGGAAGGAGGGGCGAGGAGCAAGGGGGGAATCGCGGGACACCCCACAGGAGGCGGCTGAGCGCCGAGACGCAGACCCCTCCCCAGCACCCGCAGCCCTCGGGACCCCCGGGAGAGCCGGGCCGGGGGCGCGTCCACGCCGGGGACGCCGGACTCTCCCGGCCCGCAGGGGCCCGTCCTCACCGACGGCAGCGGGGCCCTCCCTCTCCGGCGACAGCGCCGCGGCGGGTCCCTCAGCCTCTGCCGCTGCAGCAGCGGGGGTCGACCTCGCGGCCCAAGCAGTCGCCGCCACGCCGACCCCGGCACCCGCTCCCAGCCCGGACCTGCCCCGCGGGAGCGAGCCCCGTGACCGCGCGCGCGACCCCGCCGGGCAGCCGGCCTTGCGGAACGCCCAGGCGGGATCCTTCCGAGCATGCGCAGCAAGACCGCGTGGCCCGTTCCTCAGGTAAATCCGCTCCTCCGGGTCTTCCCTGCGCGTCGCCGAGCCGCAGGCCTGGCCTATCAACGCATGGGGGCGGGGACGAAACTCACTGAAAAGGCGGGGCCATCCCGAGATTGGACGCCGGCGTCCAGGGGCGGAGCTAGGATGGGGGTGCTGGATGGGACGCTCTTGGCGTAAAGTTGCTGGAGTAGGGGGCGCTTAATTGAGACCCCAGGACGGTCCCCAGGATCTGAGGATGCCCGCAGGAAGCGGAGCGCTTGCTGAGATGCACCCTTGGGTCTGTCAGTTTCCTGAGCCCGTGGAAAGGCGATTCTCATGCATCTCATTGACGCCCCCAGTGACCCTACCCCAGAGCGGAGCCAGTGTGATATTCAAATAAACAGCGATAGCAACGGATTATAACCTTGACTACAATAAGAGTCCAAACTGAAGGAAATAAGTCAATGCGGGAGAAGGGACAGTTCTTTCTTACATCAGAAAGCCAACAAAAAAAAAATACCTGGGCCGGGCGCGGTGGCTCCTGCCTGTATTCCCAGCACTTTGGGCGGCCGAGGCGGGTGGATCACCTGAGGTCAGTAGTTCAAGACCAGCCTGGTCAACATGGTGAAACTCCGTTTCTACTAAAAATACAAACATTAGCCGGGTGTGGTGGTGGGCGCCTGTAATCCCAGCTACTCGTGAGGCTGAGGCGGGAGAATCACTTGAACCCGGGAGGCGGAGGTTGCAGTGAGCTGAGATGGCGCCACTGCACTCCAGCCTGGGCAACAGTGAGACTGTGTCAAAAAAATAAAAAATAAAAAATAAAAGCAGAAATATTACATAGTATTACAAAGGCTGAATGACGAGTGATGTAACACATAGAATGTAGAAGCAGATATGACAGCCAGTAGTCTTCTGTTACGCCAGCAACAAAGATATTTGCAAAAATGTAAAACTATGTCACTGTTCTCTCTAAATTTCTTTGGAAAAATATTGTAGTTTTCCATAAAACTATGTTATGTTAACAATCAGTTTACTGTTGTTTTTTTTTTTTTTAGTAAGAGCTTTATTGAAATATAATTCACATACCATACATTTCTCCCATTTAAAGTGTACAATTAAATGATATTTAGTATAATCACAGAGTTGTGCAAGCAGCACCATAGTCAGTTTTAAAACCTTTTATCACTCCAAGAAGAAACCTTTAGCCATCACCCTCCAATTTGCTAATCACCCCAGCCCTAAGTAATATGATCTATTTTTTGTCTTTATAGATTTGCGTATTCTGCACATTTCGTATAAATGAAATCAGGCAACAAATATGTGGTCTCTTGTGACTGACTTCTTTCACCTAGCCTTAGCATAGCACTTTCAAAGTTCATCCATGTTGGCCAGGTACAGTGACTCGTGCTTGTAATCCCAGCACTTTGGGAAGCTGAGACAGGAGCATCGTTTGAGCCCAGGAGTTTGAGACCAGCATAGGCAACACAGTGAGACTCTTTCTCTACAGAAAAAAAAAAAAAAAAAAAAAAAAAAGAGGAACAAGAAAAAATTAACTGGATGTGGTGATGCGCTGTAGTCCAAGCTACTCAGGAGGCTGAGGTGGAAGGATCGCTTGAGCTTGGGAGTTTGAGGATGCAGTGAGCTGCGCTCATGCTACTGCACACCAGGCTGGGCGACAGAGCAAGACCCTGTTTTTTAAAAAAAAAAAAAAAAAAAAAAAGTGGCAGAACTTAATTACTTGTTTTTTTTTCTTCTTGAGATGGAGTCTTGCTCTGTCACCCAGGCTGGAGTGCAGTGGCACGATCTCAGCTCACTGCAACCTCCACCTCCCGGGTTCAAGCGATTCTCCTGCCTCAGTCTCCTGTGCAGCTGGGATTACAGGCACTTGTCACCACGCCCAGCTTTTTTTGAGAGAAGTCTGACTGCCACACCCAGGCTGGAGTACAATGGTGCTATGTCGGCTAACTGCAACCTTTGCTTTCCAGGTTCAAGCGATTCTCCTGTCTCAGCTTCCCCAGTAGCTGGGACTACATGCCTGCGCCACCATGCCTGGCTGATTTTTGTATTTTTAGGAGAGACGGGGTTCCACCATGTTGTCCAGGCTGATCTCGAACTCCTGACCTCAGGTAATCTGCCCGACTTGGTCTCCCAAAGTGCTGGGATTACAGGCATGAGCCACCATGCCTGGCCAGGATGCTGTTTTTGTTTATTTGTTTTGTTTTTGAGACAGAATCTCCCTCTGTCGTCCAGGGTGGAGTGCAGTGGTGAGATCACAGTTCACTGCAGCCTCAATCAAACTCTTGGGTTCCATTGATCCTCTTGCCTCAGCCTCCAAAGTAGCTGGCACTATAGGTGCACAACACAGCACCCTGCTAATTTTTGTATTTTTAGTAGAGACGAGGTTTCACCACGTTGGCCAGGATGGTCTCCTGACCTCAGGTGATCCACCCGCCTCGACCTGCTAAAGTGCTAGGATTACAGGCATGAACCACTGCAATCTGCCTGTTATTCCTTTTCAATATTCTTTTGCCACCTCTGGGTCTCTTGAGTTTCCAGTTGTCATCTTTCTTGTCAATCTTTGTGAAAATGAATCACTACCTTTAATTTTACATCATTGAGACCACTGCAATTATTATTATTATAATTATTTTGAGGCAGAGTCTCGCTTTGTTGTCCAGGCTGGAGGGCAATAGTGCGATCTCGGCTTACTGCAAACTCTGCCTCCGGGTTCAAGCGATTCTTCCACCTTAGGCTCCCGAGTAGCTGGGATTACAGGTGTGCACCACCGCCACGTCTAAGTTTTTAATTTTTTTTTTTTTTTTTTTTTTTTCAGACGAAGTTTCGCTCTTCTTGCCTAGGCTGGAGTGCAATGGCGTGATCTCGGCTCACCGCAACCTCCGCCTCCCGGATTCAAGCGATTCTCCTGCCTCAGCCTCCCGAGTAGCTGGCGCCACCACGCCTGGCTAGTTTAGTATTTTTAGCAGAGACGGGGTTTCTCCATGTTGGTCAGGCTGTTCTTGAACTTCCGACCTCAAGTGATCCGCCCGCCTTGGCCTCCCAAAGTGCTGAGATTACAGGCATAAGCCACCCTGCCCGGTCTTAATTTTAATTTCAATTTTTACTAGAGACGTAGTCTCCCTATTCCCGAGGCTGGTCTCAAACTCCTGAGCTCAAGCGATTCTCTCGCCTTGGCCTCCCGAAGCACTGGAAAACAGACGTGAGCCACCCCAGTCAGCCTCCTTTTGGGATTCTTGCAACTTTTCTGTAGGTGAGAAATTATGTCAAAGTAGAAGCTGGACAAAGGAAATACTCCCTTCATCCCCTGAGCATTCCACGAGGTGAAAGCCTGCTTTTCCCGTTGGTCCAACCCTCGCCCATTGGTTCAGCCCCGGCCCATCCCTCGCCCATTGGTCCAGCCCCGCCCATTGGTTCAGCCCCGCCCTACACCCATTGGTTCCGCTCCCTTCTATTGGCTCAGCCCCCTTTGGCCCCGCCCCACCCATTAGTTCAGCCCCCGTCCATTGATGTCCAGCACTCTCCCATTGGTCCAGGCCTTGCCCATTGGTTTAGCCCTCGACCATTGGCTCACCCCTCGCCCATTGGTCCCACCCCCACCCACAGGCCCCGCCCTCGCCGCTGCGCGTCCCTGGCCCACCACGCGCCATTCTCCAGCAAGGAGAATACACTCGGCATTCTCCAGCAACGCGGTGCGGTACCGGGTTGACTCCAAGTGCGAGGAGCCGCAGGGTCCTGGTTACTGTTTTCCTGTGACGCTTGGCGGCGGCGGCCAGAGCGGCCCCAGCACCGCGCCCTGGGCTCACTGCGGCTCTCCTATCATCCCGGGGTCATCACGGTCCGCTTGCACCCTTCTCCCCGCCCAAGCCTCCCTCTGGCTGCGCGTCATCCGCTGGCTCGCGGAGGGCGCCGCTCCACCCTGGGAGACCCCGCGCCCCCGCCTCACTGCCTGCCCATCTCCTCTCACTCTAAAGCGGCCGCTGGAGGAGCCCCAGGTCTGGTGGGTCCATGTCCAGGTGCCCTGGGTTCCCGCACGACCCACGGCCTCCTGCGTCCCGCACCTCTTGTGTTCTGCAGCCGCCCGCGTCCTCTCTGGGAGCCCTTCCTTCCCTGAGTCCGTCCACATCCCCTGCGATTCCTCTGAAATCCGCGCCCCAATCCCGGAACCTCGGCTCTTCCGCGCGCTCTTCGTCCCCGCCTCCCCAGCCCCCAGGTGTCCTCCGCGTTCCGTATCCCCCTGCACCACACCGCTCCCTCTCTCCTTGCCCTCCGCACTGGGACCCTCGGGGACCAAAATCGTCCAAAATGCCTTCCCTGGTGTCGAGTTTATGTTAAGGGGTGGGGTGGGGAGACCAAAAAGCTGTGGATGTGGTAACCACGGGGACGCCGTGTGTCCGAGTCGGGGGCCTTTCGGCGGAGACGCGACGGGAGGAGGGGCTGCGGCTCGTGCCCTGGGCAGCGACAGTGTGGACTCCATTGCAATTCTCCAACGGCTGCCACCCGCAGTGTCAACACACAGGTCCCCTCCATCCCTTACAGTCGCCCACCTCCCATCCCTGCAGAAGGCACCTTAGAGCCGGTGTCTGGGCCTTAAGGAGCCCGGGTGGGGGTCAGGCGGGTGGGCTGAGCGGGACGGAGGCTGCGGGGAGGAAC